GGTGGTAGTAGTAGTAGTAACAGTAGTAGTATTGGTGGTGGTGGTGGTGTGGTAGTAATGATAATAATAATAACACCAATGATAGTTGGCATTGGCATTTATGGTATCTTTAAGGTTCTCAGAGCCCTTCACACATTTTATGTCATTTGTTATTTCTCACAAGCCTGGGAGGTAGTGCTATTTATTATTATTCACATGTTACAGATGAGGAAACTGAGGTAGGCAGCGGTTAAATGATTTGCCCAGCATCACACAGCTAGTAAGTGTCTAAGGAAGGATTTGAACTCAGGTCTTCCTGATTCCAAGTCTGATATTGATCCACAGTGCTACCTGGCTGTTACTTACTTGTTTCACAAGTACAATTATTTTTAGTATTGATATAGTAAGGGAACCCCTCCCCCATTGGACAGATGAGTGCCTTAGGATCATAGACTTAGAGATAAAAGGGACCTCAGGGGCTGTGGCTAGCCTAGTCCCCTCATTTGACACAGGAGGAAACTGAGGATCTGAGAAGAAGTGACTTGCCCGAGGTCACACATGTCTGTTGGCAGAACTGAAGGTCCTCTGACTCCTAAGGGAAGGCTATCCCAGAGAGCCTGCTGCTACTCTAGAAACGGGACAACAGGCCGCAGGAACCACCCTTGGTTACAGGAGGACAGTCCTGGGACCCAAGTCCCCTGTCTCTTAACTATGCTGTCTTCCTATGGAACCACAAGGACGAAGGTGACTGAACAGCTTTAGGAGAACAGAACTGAAACCTTAGCTTCCTCATATGTAAGATGGGGGGCTAAGGGATAGACAAAAAAGCTCTCTGAAGTGTTCCTGTTTTCCAGCTCTAACTATCTATGATATTCTGTTTTGTGAATCTGTAAATTCAGTCCTCCAACCTGTCACACTAACGCCCACATCCAAGACAATGCCAGCCCTCACTCTGGAGAACGACTCTGCCTTTAGTTACTTACAGGTTCAGTTTCTTTCCTTCTGCTAGAGCACATTCCGTGAGATGCAATGGCAGCCTCAGGAACCCACTCATATGATTGTAGAGAGTAGCTCAATACACGGCCCGTGGCCACACAGCCGAGATACTATGTCAGGGACAGCTCTCAGACCCGTGGCTTCCAGCTCTGTGGCCAACTCTCTATCCACCATGTACCACTCCATCCCCACATATGCAAGGCAGCCTAATGAAATGCTTGTAGTATTGGGGGGGGGGGCATAAAAGAAGTCAAATCAACAAACATTTATTAATTACCTACTGTGTGCCAGGCAGTGGGCTAAGCACTAGGGATGCAAAGAAAGGCAAAGTCAGTCTCAAGGAGTTCCCAGTCTAATTGGGGGAGAGAATACACAAACAACTATGTACAAATGAGAGAGACAAAGACAGAGAGAGGGAGGGAGGGAGGGAGAGAGAGAGAGAGAGAGAGAGAGAGAGAGAGAGATCTAGTAGGATAGATCAAGCAGCTACGTAGTGCAGTAGATAGAGTGCCACACCTGGAGTCAGGAAGACTTGTCTTCCTGAGTTCAAATCCTTCCTCAGGCACTTACTAGCTGTATGATCCTGGGCAAGTCACTTAACCTTGTTTGCCTCAGTTCCCTCTTCTGTTAAATGGTAGTAATAATAGCCCCTACCCCCACCCTCACCGCTAGTATAATTGGAACACTAATATTTGCCCTGCCTTTCTTCCAGGCTGAGGAAAGTTGTAATCGGCAAAGCCTGAAAAAAAATGAGGGCTGATCTTCTATTGGGCAAGGAATTCAAGATGGTGTTTCTTCAGTTTGCGTGGTGCCCTGGACATTATTACTGGGATCAGCTGTGGACAAGCCTGCTCTCTAACCATCAGTGTTGCTGGAAGAGAGCAGCCCTTTTGTAAAGAGGCCATTGGAAACTGGCTAGTAAAGGTCCCTTCCCCAGGGGAGAGTGGTGTGAAATCAAAGCAGTCCTCCCACCACCAAGGCTCCTTTACAGCTGTCTGCAAAGTGCTGACTGCCCTTGAAAAGTTTCACCCGCCCACACCATCTTCGTCTTGAGGGTCTACGAGTGGAATGTGCCCACTGAAAGTGAAAACAATTCTACTTTTTCAAAGCTTATTTCCAGAGCACAAATGTACTTGATTATGATCCTCCACCAGAATGAAACTTGATTTCCCTGATATGTTGTTTCTGTTACCAGAGTGTGGCTTGAGACCTTGGTCCCCTTCAGCTCTTCTTTACCCACTAAACTGTGGCACCAAGAAGTGGCTGCCATCTTGCTTCAAGGGTCACACACAAATTTCCAGGTCCAAAATAAAGGCGTCTCTTTTCACAAAACCTGAACGAATGGTGAGTGAATGAATGCTCTTCCTGTGCTCCTGTGTTCCAGTCTGTCTACTGAGCTCACTAGCCATTCGACCACAGCTCCAACATGGTCTTCCCATTATGAATCCTAGCCAATCCACCAAGCACTTATGAGGCACTTCCCATGTACAAAGAAGTGGCGATACAGAGTAATAAAGAAAAAATAGCCCGTAGCCTCCAGTAGGGTAGATACTAACGAGGAAATACAACATGTAGAGGGGAATGTTAGGTAGTGGACAGGGCACCAGACTTGAAGTCCGGAAGACCTTAGTTCAAATTTTGCTTCTGTTTCTTACTAGTTGTGTGATCCCAGGCAAGTTACTTAACCTCCCTCAACCTCAGTTTCTTCATCTATAAAACGAAATTAATAATAGAACCAACCTCCCAAGGCCACTGTGAGAGCCAAATGAGTTAACACTCAGACTTTACAAACCTTCATCTGCAATGTAAGTGCCAACTATTATGGTTGTAGCCAAACAAATTCAGGTCTATACCATATTTTGAGGAGAGATGAAGCATATACAATCAGGGGGAATCAGATAAGACCTAGGGAAAAAGGGTTTATGAGCAGTGAACATGGCTAAAGCTGCATTTTCATTCAGCATAAACAGTTGGCTTCATCCATCATGAAATCACAATGACCACTCAGCTCCCCTAATGGCATTTTTATTTAGCTATTTCTATTTCTGCTTATTAGACTCTGCCAGGTAAAGAAATAGCTTTGTTTCACTTGTTCCCACTTTTACCTGTTCATTTAGTGATTGATTTTGATGATTCCTCTCAGTTCACTTGTGTTAAGCATTGGTAACATAAAGAAAAAAACAAAACAATTCCTGATCTCAAGGTTTACATTCTACTGGGCCACTATATGTGCTTAAGCAAGTAGGCAATGGATGTGCATCTTAAAAATTTCCAGGACTATTCCCCAATTGATAAATGATCAAAGGGTATGAATTGGGCAGGGTTGTTGTTTTTTTTACATTTAATTTTTATTTTGTTTTTTCCAAATTACATGTAAACAAAAACTTTTAACATTTTTTTAATTTTGAGTTTCAAATTCTCTCCATCCCTTCTTCCTTTTCCCCTTTCTTGAGAAGGCAAGCAATTTTATATAGATTATACATGTGCACTCATACAAAACATTTCCATATTAGCCCTATTGCAAAAGAAAATGCAGATAAAAAATAAACAAGAAAAATAAAGTTTTAAAAAAAAGTATTCTTTGATCTGCATTCAGACTCCAAAATTCTTTCTCTGCAGGTGTATACCATTTTTCACCATAAGTCCTTCAGAATTGTCTTGGATCATTGTATTGTTGAGAATAGCTAAGTCATTCATAGTTTATTATCATAAATTGGGCAGTTATCAAAAGAAAAATTCCAAAAAGTCAACAGCCACATGAATGCTCCAAATCACTAATAGTTAGAGAAATAGAAATTAAACCAACTCTGAGGTTCCACATCACATGCATCAAACTGACAAAGTTGTCAATAAAGGAAAATTCCAAATGTTGGAGGGGCTGCAGAAAAACAGACACCCTAACACAGTGCTGGTGGAACTGTGACTGGTCTAGCCTTCTACAAAGCACATCGGAACTATGTTCAAAAGGTTACTTAATACCAGCAACACTATTACTGGGCCGATAGCCAAAAGAAATCAAAGAAAGAAGAAAAAAACCACATAGGTACAAAAACATGGACAGCGGCTCTCCTGGTAGCAGCAAATGACTGGGAGTTAAAGGGGTGCTGATCAATTGAGGAATGGCTAAACAAATTAAGGTATATGTGAATATAATAGAATATTATTGCACCATCAGAAATGATAAAAGGGTTGGTGTTGAGGAAATCTGAAGAGACTCATATATAGAGTGAAGTGAGCAAAACCCGAGATGAATTCATACAACAACATTTTAGAGACAAACAACTTGAAAGGCAAAGGAACTCTGGTCTACACGATGACCAGACACAGTTCCAGAGGCCCAATGACGATGCAGGCTGCCTGCTTCCTGACACAGAAATGATAGACTCAGTGCACAGAATGAGACGTATATTTTAACATGGCCAATGCGGGGATTTGTTTTGCTTTACTATATGTATTTCTAACAAGAATTTTTTTCCAATGGGTAGACTAGGAGGGAAAAAAAATAAATTCTTATTAATTGAAAAAAATTTAAGTTTCTGGAACTATGTTGCATCAGAAAAGCAAATATCATAAAATTGAAAATGTAACAAAAACAGAAGAACATGCATGCAACAAGGGGTCTGGCTTGGGAAATTGCTGTCAGCGATCTTATACTGTTCACCTCTTCAACAGGCTCTCCCTTAAATACCAATATTCTGCCAATGCTATTATTTGACTGAGGCTCATGGAACCTCATGGCCTGGGATGATTTAAAATGACAACCCACAGGCCAATGGAACAGAGCTTGATGGGCAGAAGAAGGCTGTGGCATGTGACCCAGGATGGAGAGGCATGAAATAAATTACCAAGGAGATGTCGAAATGGAAAAGGTGTTGGGTTTGTCATGTTCCAAGGATGAAGGACAAGAGATAGGCAAATCAAGTCAGGGCTTGGCACTCCTGAGATGTTAAAGCAACAAGAAGAGAGACTTCCAGATAAATACTCTATGGAGGATCCAGAGATAAACACAAGATGATGATGATGGTGATGGTGATGGTGGTGGTGGTGGTGGTGGTGATGATGGTGATGGTGGTGATGATGATGATAATGATAGTGGTGGTGGTGATGGTGATGGTGATGGTGATGATGATGATGGTGATGGTGATGATGATGATGATAATGATAGTGGTGGTGGTGATGGTGATGGTGATGATGATGATGATGGAGATGGTGGTGGTGGTGATGATGATGGTGATGGTGGTGGTGATGATGATGATGGTGATGGTGGTGGTGATGATGATGATGATGGTGGTGGTGGTGGTGATGATGATGATGATGGTGGTGGTGGTGGTGGTGGTGGTGATGATGATAGTGGTGGTGGTGATGGTGATGATGATGATAGAATTTATATAGGTCTTTTAAAGTTGGCAAATTACTTTACAAATACTTTATTTTTTATTTTATCTTCAAAACAACCCTGGGAGGTAAGTGCTATTATTATCCCCCATTCACAGATGAGAAAACTGAGGTTAAGTGACTTGCCCAAGATCATACAGCTTTTAAATGTCTGCAACCAAGTTTAAACTCGGGTCTTCCTGACTCCAGGCCCAGTGCTATGTCCCCCAGCCTCACAGCTGCACTGTGTCAGTGGACAGAGCAATTACTTATGAAATCACAGCTCCATCAAAGTCAATGGAAATAAATGGAAATACTTAGTATATAATCAAATTATTATTTAACAAATGATTGAACAGAAAGTCATTTTTACTTTAATCAGTCAGCAAGCATGTATTAAGTTCCTATCATGTTCCAGGCACCATACAGAGTGCTGAGAACATAAATTGAAATATTTATTTCAAAATTGAAATAATCCTTGCCCTCAAGGAGCTTATACTCTACTGGGGGGAAACACATATACACAAATAAGTATGTATGTGCCACTTGCTACCTGTGTGGCCTTGGGCAAGTGACTCCAACCCTCTCAGCTTCAGTTTCCTTATCTGTAAAAAAGAAAGAAAGAAAGAAAAAAAAAAGAAAGAAAGAAAGAAAAGAAAAGAAAAAAGAAAAGAAAAGAAAAGAAAAGAAAAGAAAAGAAAAGAAAAGAAAAGAAGAAGGGGGGGTGATAATAATAGCCCTTACCTCCCAGGATTGTTGTGAAGACCAAATAGAATAATATACTTAAGGCACTTTGCAAACCTTAAAATGCGTGTAAATGTTTGTTATTATTATTTCATCCCAGCAGCCGTAGAGAGACGGTAAACTGTATTGAGCAGGTGAGTGGCATGGTTGCACCTGAAGAATCAACCAGACTGTTGATAATCCTCCTTGAACAACATGTCTCCTTTCCAACATTTGGAGCAGAATAGGTGACGCTGCACAAAATTGAATCCAAGATGGTGTCATCATGAAAAGAGTTGTGGGATCTGGGTCTGGGAAACTGGCTTCTTGTCCCACCTGTCCATTGGCTGTAGCATCCTTCTGATGTGTCATGGGTATCCTTTCTGACGTAACCATCCCTCCCCCCATAACTCTCAGAACCCTCCCGTTCACAAAAAAGTTTGTTAAGCCAAACAAACCAACACATTGACCATCTCTGATGCCTCATTCTGCACCTCTAGCACGCCACCTCCGTAACAAGAAGCACGGGGAAGAGCTATATAATCTTCAGGAAGTAATATAACCTCTCCAAACCTCAGTTTCTTACTCTGCCAAATTTGAGAATTGTCCTCAAGGACCTCTCAGGTCCTCTGACATCCTGCGATCTAAGAGCTTACAATGTGGTTCCTCGTCATATTCCAGATGTCAGTAACTGAGGAAGATAGTATGAGAGACTGAGGAGAAGCAAGCTTATAACATACTAAGGACACTTGGTTTTTGTTTTCATTTTTGCCAAATTCCTGATTTACAGACACCCAGATGGACACTGATCTGGGCCCAAAATTCAACAAGAGGCAGAGAGCAAGCTGGATGGCCCTTGGGAAATTTTCAAATGCTGCCAATGCCCCAAACTTCTTCTTGAACAGAGACTCATCTTTTGTACAAGTAACCTTCCAGAGATGCTGGACAACTTAAAGTCATGTGATATCTATGGAGAATTGAAATTGTCAGTCATTCACTGGGCCATGGAGAGGCATGAAGCGGCCACCGCATATGACTGATGACACAGTCCGGGAGGACCAGTGGCAAAGATGTCATCAGAGATCTGTGACCAGATAAGGATGTGGGCACGAGCAAAAGGGTTGGAAATTGATGAGCAATTGACTGCTCCATGGCTGTGTTCATCACAGGGCCTGGCTTCTAATCCCAGTTGTCTGTGAAGCTCATTATTT